GAGGACGAAGACTTTTTGTGTCATCCGGTTCCGGAAAGATCGCCGAACGAACAGGATGATGACTAGTAATTGTGATTCAAGGCTGTGTGTGGTGCAGCTTTTTCTCGGTTTTAATTTACTTACTCATTCTTGTTCTCGTCTTTGTGGATTCTTCTTCTTTGTGCTTGTTGTGATACACCTTCGATTTTTTGATTCCTCGTCTCGCTTTCATCTTGGGAGTGCTTATCTCATTCTTCGCATAAGAATTGCTTGTGCGAAAACGCGACGGTGTGGGAGGATCAACGAATTAAAGTTCATAAGATTATGTGCATTAGTAACCGGGATCAAACTCTACTTACTCTCATGTGATCTATTACTGATACTTGTGGTAAATTTTCACTTGAATTTACGACTTTTTTCGAATACTCGCATTTACGTGTCTCTCTTGATGATATTAAATCCCGGCTGAATATTGCTAGGAAAAAATGAATTCCATAATTTGAGCTCGATGAAATTCTTCGTAATGATATACCTTTCCCTGGGGACATCGAAACTCACTGTAATTCTAGAATTATTCTATCTAACGTATATCGGACCATATCGTTTTTTCTCGATGAACTGTCTAAAACTTGCTCCAGACTTTAAATTAATGCTGTATTTCCCATCTCGTGTTATATGTTGGTCTTCATAAGTTCATGCGAACCTCAGGTTTAAATTACTTGCCTCAAAATTCTTTTGATTGCGACCGATTAATTTTCCGAAGTACAGTATTTGATGCTAAACGTTATTTTCCGCGTGTGTTGGCTCTGAATAAGCCCCTCTTTATTTTGTTGTTCACAGGCTGTGACGCTGAACTGCACCCACTCTTTTTGCATGGAATGTTTGCAAAAGTGGTCTCAAGTCTCTGGCGTTACCCGTGCAGACAAGGGAGTTTGTCCAACTTGTCGGACGAAGATCGTGTCGTCGAATCCTTCGAGGGCAATTGATTCCCTGGTTGAAGTTCTCATCAAGTCGATGAGTCCTGAAAAGCAAACTGCTCGAAAAGCGATGGAAGCTTTGCATGAAGCGTGGCGAAAGGAAAGAGAGCGACGTGAGTTAATCCCGAATTCTTTTGTTGACTTATTCCTCTGGGAATTTTGAAACCTTTTTGAGTGATGATTCAAACTGAAAATGAGTCAGTATAATGAAATTCGAGTGAAGTTATTTGCGGTTTATTTTCATTCTGTCTCCTCGAACGGTGCTTCAATTGAAGGTCCGATTCCAAGGCCTGCCTAATATCGCGAAACAGATCGATGAAATACTGTAATCGTTGGCTTTTTTCATCTGCCGCCAAACGTTCTCCGCTTCTTACATTGTATAGTTGCCACGTAAATTTATTTCTCGTTTAATTGCCTTGAGTTAGTTGAGGTCGAGCCGGCTTGATATTTTGTCTACCCAAAAGCAAGATTCATGCGACACCTGCCTAACATTTCAGAAAGCACGCGTTGGAGTTGCAATGAACCTGGTCAAAAAGGATGCGCGCTTGAAGCTTAGTTTCAAGAATTCTTTTTTTTTGTGTGTGTGGAATTGACGTTGAATGGAAAAAAGTTTTAAAGAATGTAATGGAAATTCTATTTCTTCTTCCAGCTGTGATTCGCTCGAGAGGTAGACCGAAATCCCGTGACTCTACGACAATGCCAAATATCGTGGTTGGAAGGCGTGGGAACGAACATTTGACTGATTTGCTGGCGCGTCTAACCAATGATCGAGGTCGAAGTGCGTCTTCCAGTGTAAGGAAGCCATCAAACGATGGAATAAAGCTTATCTCTGATATGTTGCGTACGAGATTTGCAAAAGTTTCGTGCGGATCTTTTCGTAGTCAGCGGACGAACGCTGCGGAAAACGGCAGAATTTCTCGTAATTTTTGTTCCGATTTCGGAAAAACGAGAATTGCTGCGTCAGATATTTTCTTTCAACAATCGGAACGATTATTATGAGACGTTGCTTTCAGCCTTGTCAGTTTTACCTTGTATTACGATACTTTGGAATTGTTACTTGACTGAGAGGTCAGTTTTCGATGCTCAATTTTAATAGGTGTATAATCCAACTAGTGAAAAGATCCAGGCATTTGCATTTCCGAGAGTGACTTCGACTTTTTTTTTCAATCAATAAAGCAGAAATCATCGACAGCTTGAGTCAATTGCGCTAAAGTTGATTAGCTAGAGTCCCAGTGCAATAATTTCATGTATTGAGTTTTCGTCATGGAAACGATGCAATTGTTCTATCATTACCTTTTTTCAAAGTTTATATCTTACATGACATGATTCATTCGTCAATGGAAATGTCTTACACAGGTGGTCGATGATTCCGAAGAAACAAGTGCCACGTCCCGTGTGGATGTCGTACTGAGGGATATTTTGATACCCTTCGCTGCCAACAGTGAGTACCCTTGCGCCAAAATGCCTCCACTGCTTCGGTCGATGATCTTGGAATTTTAAAAATTTTCGCTGAGAACGACGACACGGTGTAAAATTTCTACTTTCATGCATTGATGTGCATATTCTTTTTGTTGATTCATACAGTAAAATATTATTTGAAAATTTTTGGCTTTTTCATATTATTAGGGAATGCAATTTTGAAATCTGAAATCATGGCATGATCTTATTTTATTGAAGCTTCGTTTTTCTTACGGTTCTAGTGCACACAAGAGCGTCAAGATTTGACGACGAACGAGTTGGCCAATCATCCACTCGGACGGGCGGAAGTTGGCCTCTACCCACTGGTCAACCCCGGTTTTCCCGTTTTTAGTGAGTTCAATTATTATTTTTTCATCTTTTACTCAATTTTTAATAAAAAATACCTTTAGTTCTGTCCTATTAAGCAATCTACTGGAGTAAACTTGAGTCTTGGTATGCGATCTATCTATCCCGATACAGTTGGTAGAGTAAAATTCCCAGATGACAGTAGTGTACTGTACAGTACCGTACTTCATTCGGAGGTCGAGATTTGCATCTCATTGGTCTTGGGTCACTTTTTCTGCCGTATTTACGTATTTTATGACCACGATATTTTAATGAGATATTAGTCGGAACAGAAGGAAATGTCTTCTGGAAAATTCGAGACTTCGCTTGCTTCACAATAAGGTACAGTATGTCTAAAAGTTGGCATAGTTTGGACAAAAAGTGTATCCCAGTTTTAAAAAAAAAATTCCTTCGCGATGCATTGCAGTGACAATATTGTGAATCGAGACTTCTTTTCAGAGTTGTGAAATTGAAATTTAATTTTTGAAGAGAAATGTTTTTCCCGCATCTGCGCTTTGAATCCGAATTGTACTGTATATTGTATGTTTAATTTAGATACAGTACTGTTTTAAACGTTTGCCCAGTGGTGGGAAGATGCTCGATGTGATAATTAGACGTGAATAATTCAAACGAGAGTCGGATTTTTGGACCACCTCCCAATTATGCCTAAATCTGAGGGATCGCTAATTTTTAAACGCCCCAATTTTTTCGAATCTGGAAACGAAAGACGAGGCTTCTAGCAATCACCTAAATACTGAATGCCATCCTCTGAATCGATTATTTTGTCATCTCATGTTTTGTGCGGAAATATTAAGCTTGACAATATTCCTCAGGCCATTTCTCGACGAGAATATGATCTCGAATACCGGAGCCTTGCTAGGGAGCGACATCTACCGGCTTTTCGCCGCAAGTTCGAAATTGATTTGTATTCCTGCAAACGGGAAAAGAATTGATCTATGTTCAGATTTCCTGACAAATTTATTTTTTATAGCGCATTGTGGCGAAATTTCAGCACTTGCATTATTTATTTTCTTTGCATTTTCTCCCTCGCGCTTCACTCAAGTGATTTCGTTTCCCCGTCTGTGTATTAAGCAGTCAGAATTGATTCAAAATTGACTGTTCTTCGTGTGACTGAGTGCAATTGCAAATACAATATTTTGGCGAAATTTCACAAACACCGTATCGTTTAATTAAACCTTGGAGACATTGGTAGGCTGGAAGAGATCGCGTTCATAAAATTCAAAAATGCATTCAANGAACTTCGTGGGTATTGTGCTGGGATTTTATTTAAAAACAAATTTATTGTGAGTGATTTTGTTGCACAGTATATAATCCAATTTGGTTTTCCTTTTCATTTGCTTGAAAATTGCTTTTTGTAAATTTCATTTTCTAGCTCATACAGCACCCTTTAAATCTTCAAGTTATGGAGTTTAATCCTTTGGTACAGTATTTTAAAAATCATATTTTTATTTTTCTAAGGAAAAATGTGCATTTCATTATGCAAAGAAAAATCAGGTACATTTTCTGGTTCAGCAGGAGGTCAAATTGTGTTTTAATGCTGCCTTGCACCAATCTAATATCAATGAAGAAAGTTTGTTGGCAAACTTAGTACAGTATTTCCCATATGAATCCATGGGAGAGAGATGTGTCCTGGTCATCCAAACCTTACCATGAATGTATTCTTCATTAATTTTCAGAAACAGGCTAATTTTTTAATTCTCCTTCAAAGGGCTTTTTCATCAACTTTCTGCACTATGGTAATATGTATGTGTATATCCTTCTTATGCCAGAAGGGCAGATTCTGTGTGAATTTCTCCTGCGCAATTATTTAAATTTGCATCTTGAAGTTCAGACAATAACATTGAAAGCTTTTTCCAATTTTTACTAAATGTGAGAAGGGATTGAATATGTCTTCATTCAAGTTTATGAGAAAATGTGATCCAACATGTGATGAACACAATCTGAGGATTGATCATGTCAGCATTGCTTATGTACCTCTGGTTGCACCAGTGATGTCTCCAATGATGCCAGCCTTGACCATGCTCTTCACCAGCTGTCCTTCAGCTTCATAGCTATGGAAGGACAATATGGTGCCCCATCCTGTCCAGTCCCAGGTTCTAGTTGAAGTTTCATAATAGTGGAGCTGTGCAGAATGGTGGCATTGGTAGGAAAAGCCAGCAATGTCCACTAGGCCGCAAGTATGTAGTGCATAATTGATTGCCATCAGGCCTGTGGATGGCTTGAATTCGTATTTCAGCCACTTCCATGCTTCCATCACAATTTTTGGATTCATTATGCGCACATTTTCCTTCAGTCTGTAATTTGGAAGAAAAGTGTTCTGATGTATGCATTGTGAGTAACAATTTTTGATGCCCACACATAAAAAAAAATCCTGTGAATACAGTACTGCATGTAAAAATACAGTGTGGTCTTGGTTAATGAACCAAGAGCTCATGAGCTTTTTGGTTGACAAACTCTGGGTTTCCCTCAGCTGCTTAGGCTAACAAACCCTGATTTTATTCACAAACTTCAGTTAATTAATATGTGAATGGGTAAAATTCTTGTTAGCAAAAGCCTGTGAATTCCTGCCCAACACAATTTATCTTGTTTGTACATTGATCAAAAGTGTTTTAATCTTAAATTCTGCATTGGACAGGTGAAAAGAATCTTTTAATTTCAAACTGCTGATTGTTCAAAAATGTTTCATGTGAGCCAGGAAACATGTTTAATTTTTTACACTTTTAGAAATGTAAGAATTATCTCAGATACCCAAGAATCTGTGGGTCTC